TATATATATAGATGAAGTTAGCCCAACTTTGATCCCTCTTTAAATGACTCCCCCAATATATTTTTTTTAAAAGAACTCGCTCACTACTAAAAAAAAGAGTTTCACAGTACTTTATATAGATAATCACATTAGTAAAAAACCACAGTTATTTTCATCACAACGAATTTTAAATTGTTGAATTGTTAGCGCTACAATCACTTTTAGCAGCGGTTTTAAATATTTTGATAAGATTTTTAAATATTTTTTTGTAGCTTTTTTTAAAACCTTTTTTTAAATAAGTACTGTCGAAGACTCTTTTTTTAGTACTGCTATCTCTACTAATGTGGCAAAAAATGTGGCCCAAACGGAGGAGAAAAATGATACTAGTTAAAGAAAGCCATTGCTTCATGATAAATAAATACAATCCACACTTGGCATTCAACAATAATAGAAAAATTATGTAGCAAACCCATAAAGTTGAACTGAAGCTAATATATACTTCTTGACAAAAACAACAAACTTAATACTGTAAAGAGACAACAAAATAAGGAAAATAATGCATGAAGCACAACTTTGTCCAATTTCAAATCAAATCATTCAAATCAAATCATCTTCCATTTTGTACTTCCCTTGCTCTCACAGAATGTTGCAACTAAATGATGAGCTAATCACACTTCAGGCTTATAGCAAACCCATAAAGTTGAACTGAAGCTAATATATACTTCTGACAAAAACAACAAACTTAATATTGTAAAGAGACATCAAAATAATGAAAATAATGCATGAAGCATAACTTTGTCCAATTTCAAATCAAATCATCTTCCATTTTGAACTTCCCCTGTTCTCACAGAATGTTGCAACTAAATGATGAGCTAATCACACTTCAGGCTTATAGCAAACCCATAAAGTTGAACTGAAGCTAATATATACTTCTGACAAAAACAACAAACTTAATATTGTAAAGAGACATCAAAATAATGAAAATAATGCATGAAGCATAACTTTGTCCAATTTCAAATCAAATCATCTTCCATTTTGTACTTCCCTTGCTCTCACAGAATGTTGCAACTAAATGATGAGCTAATCACACTTCAGGCTTATAGCAAACCCATAAAGTTGAACTGAAGCTAATATATACTTCTGACAAAAACAACAAACTTAATATTGTAAAGAGACATCAAAATAATGAAAATAATGCATGAAGCATAACTTTGTCCAATTTCAAATCAAATCATCTTCCATTTTGAACTTCCCCTGTTCTCACAGAATGTTGCAACTAAATGATGAGCTAATCACACTTCAGGCTTGCTTAAATGCATCATTTTACAACAACGTTTTAGTGACAATGACACAATTACATAAACTCCAGATTGTAAGAATAATTGAAATCTCTACTGACAGCATGATATTTTTTATAAAATTTACTCAAAAACTTTTCTCATTTATTACATACCGCATGTAGTCAGCTGATAGACCTGCGAAGCTTGTGTTTTAGCAAAAGCATTACATGCGAGATAATGAAGCTTTAGGAGAAGACGATGTCAGGCTCTGTTGGAAATGAAATCATGGATTAGTTTAAAACATAGACATATATTATTATTTGTTGAATAATATTTAAAATAGTTGTGTGAGAATTGTACATACAAATACATTGATAAAAAATAGAAAAGAGATGAAACATACACATACTTTTTGAGAAATTTAATTTAGATATTTATACATATCAATCACCCAAAATATTGAATATAACATTTTAAACTCATTTATTCATTACAACCACCATCCTAAACCCACTCATGAAGGTTTTGCGAGATGATTTTGAGTGATTAAAATGTTATATTTAATATTTTCAGTGGTTGGTATGTAAAAACAAACCTGATTAGCGAGCAATGACTAATAGAAATGTGAATGATACGGTTAAAATGATGAAACTAATTATAGAATCATAGAGTAAGAGATAATTATATTAGTGAAATGTTCGAGATATCATCAACTACAAGTATGACAGAAAAATAAACTTGAATGAATTTTTTCACATCTTCTATGTAACGAGAATAAGAGACTGATTTTCCTTTTTTCCGAGCATTTTCTCACATTATTAATTAAGAATTGAAGAGCAAACAAACCATAATAAATTAGAAAGGAAGAGAAGGCATGAGGTGGTACCAATGGCAATCCTTTCTTTGCTCTTTCTTCCAAGTAGGGAGAGGGTACAAAAAGGCCACCATATTCATTTGCCCAATTTTTGAGCTTGGAATAAATGTATGTAGATCCAAGTGTATCAGCCCAGAACAACAAGCCACCCCTTCACATAAAGCTATGAGTCAGATGAGCTGAATCTACTACAATAAGATATAAATGCAAGAATATGGACATAGATAAAAACAACAAGTACACTAACCCAAGTTAAAAACTATATTTTGTAATTATAAGGGGGTGTTTGGTTACATGAAGGATTTAGATTAAGTAGGATTTAGTAAATCCAGATTTATACAATTCGGCGTTGTTAAATCTAAGAAGTTGTTTGGTATGATTTAACTTAAGTCTGGTTAAAGTCATCTTATATGTTTGGTATTTTATCAGGATTCAACTTTCTTGTGCATTGAATCCATTAAATCCGTCTAAAAATTGGATTCAGTAAATCCAGATTTATTTCAAAAAATTAACAGAATGAGAGAAAATTGGATTTAGCATACATAAAAGTGTTGTATGTTATGTATGCATAACACATTTTTTTACATCAAATTCATGATTATACCATCTAGAAAAGCCCTGTTTTTGAATAATACATACTATTTTGCTTTTTAGATTGCCGTCACAATTTTATTTGATTACTATTTAAAAAAAAAAATTTGTTTTGCAACCAATCAACCAAAAAAAGACAGCTGTAGCAAGCTATATTCTCATTTTTTAAAAAAACTAAATATTTATGATATCAAAAATAATTTTCTTAAAAAATTATTTTCTTGAGGACAACTTTACAATTATCTTGAAAAAAGAATAATTATATATATATCATCTAAAATACTAATATTTATAAATTAATCATTTTAAACTATCGAACTGATGTATCTATGTGTGCCACATCGAACCATTGGGAGACTTCAATGAAAATGAAAAATGAATTTTGACACTTAGTGAGAATTTGAAAAGTGGATGAAAGAGAGTGGTTGGTTTGTAAATACCAAAAGTTTTAGGTGCCCTCCAAAAATAACAAAAAGGGTTCGAGTGAGTGAGTGGGTGGAGAAAACGAGAAAGCGTTCGACGGCTTACAGGAGCTGCATCTTGCGTGGACTGAACGAGTGTGAGCGAAATGTGCTTCTTCAATGTCAGAGAAGGCTAGGGTTTATTTCTTCTTCTGCTTTCTTCCCAATCAGAGGTATTCTTCCAAATCATATGTAA